GACAGGCCTCTTGACGTCACTGCGACAGACGCCACATAAATTAGCCTGCAAATAAAAAACGCCTCTCAGATCATCCGCTTTGGGACCATAATGCCACAGACAAATAAAAGCTTTAAATCAATGGTCTTATTCAAAGTTAAATAGTCATTTATTAAAAGTAAAATCTCAGTACAGAATACTAAAAAACCGACCTCAAAAGTACGTGGAATTACGTGTATTTGCTAAGTTTTATTGAAATATCCCCTAGTTCGCCACTATACAGGACTTGACACAGGAGATAATAAAAATCGGTTCTCACTACTCAAAGTATATTGAGAGAAAAACGCCTTGAATTGGAGAAATAGCAAAATCAACCATTAAAATAATTGCTCCTAAATTAATGTTAGGCGCTATTTATGAAAATGAATCTTCATGTGTGAACAGCCGCCCTTCGAGGTGGACGATTTTCTTCAAAATGAAATGGAAGTACCCCCTTTCCAACAAAAAAAGAATCATGAAAATCGGTTCACAAATACCGGAGTTATCGCGTAACATACATACAAAAAAAACATACAGTCGAATTGAGAACCTCCTCCTTTTTTGAAGTCAGTTAAAAAAATTACTTCAAAACGTCATTGTTTAAGCTACTGCTCGTTCACCGCGCTCATGCCCTGGCTTCCCGAGAAGAACGAGCAAGAAACTAACACACTTAAATACTATGAATATATTTTGAACCATATTGGTGTGGAATCTAGACTGTCTTTTCATAAATCTAGCAGCAGTAAAGATGCTTGGGAAAGAGTTAGTCCAGGGAAGTACCTACCGCCTACCTATTTCTGCCGCCAACCAGTAATCTGGGTTCCGGTTTTGAAGGGTAATGGTGCCGGTGAAATTATAGGTACATTGTCAACTTATGTCGCAGAGTGACGGGCGCAGTGTCCATCAGATCTTTACAATGTCCTGCAACTGTTATAGACAGGCGTGTAGTTTAACATCAGGCGTACGACTTGTTCGTCCCGACTTGATATTATATTAAAAAAAATCTTTGTCTAACAAGTAGTCATCAATTTTTGAAAATGAATTTTCAATTAAAATTATTAAGAGGGAGCAGAGGAAAAATTCCTAATCTTAGATTTGATTTTAGAGGGGTATATCCACTTTAAAGTTAAAAATAAAATATTGTATGAGTAACTACACGATATATTCAAGCATAGACACTAATCAGAAACATAAAACAATAAAGTTTCCTCGATAGATAAAAATCACGAAATGACCTCTAATTTTCACATTTTTTCGATTCATCATCAAAATGCTACAGGTTATTAGGACAAAAATTAGATAATTAATTATATTTATGCATGATCGAGAACTGTCACTACGGATTTTTCCTTAATCCCTTTAGTTTTAGAGTTATTCCGCTAAAACGAATTTGGTACTTTTGATGCGCAAAATTCAACATCTCCTGTCGCATGTCACGCGAACTTCAGGCATATATTTGTTTCACAAATTTGGGCGGAGCCAACGTCAAAACTTTTTTGGCATGAGAGCTCTTAATGTAAGTTTGAAACTAAAGAAATGATAATCATAATAGATACTCCGGAAACTTACTGTAAAAACGTGTACAGTTCCCCATAAAAGAATCGTATAACTTTGTTAAACGAAATCGTGGTACCATGAGTTTGGACTTTTTCTAAGGTTAATATTATGGATATCTTCATTCTTAATGAAATTATGTATATTTTTAAGGGCATACAAAATATTTGAGTAAATGTACTGTGATGCCACAGTCATGATACCAGTCTCCTTAAACTTTTCTCCGAGACAAACCCCAGAACTAAACGGTACACAGAACTAATCACTCGTTTTTGCAACACAGATATGGTTTGTATATCTGCCGCTTTATATCCACATGAGAATCCCGTAGGGCATTATACTATGGAAGTAATTAAAGTAAAATAGACTAAACTTGTTTCATTGGTTTATTTAAATTGCTTCAACCAATTGGCCATATTGGATTCAGTAGAAAAGTATGATAAGAGACAATGTAGGAGACCCGGATTTAGAAGAGGCGAAACTGCAGAGCCTTGAACATCGCCGTAAAGTTGCCTGCTTATAGGTATTCTACAGGATATATCATGGAGAGTGTGCGATAGAATTACACGATTGAATTCCGCCTTCCCTTTTCCATCTTTAGGGAAGTAGGCGTAGGCTTGAATTCCACCCCCATTGTTGTAGATATCCCCAAGATTAAATGTAAAAGCGTTACGCTTCTCTAGGTTCGATTCCCGGGCCGGGAGAAACATTTGTATGGCCTACATTTATTTCTCTCGTGAGTTTGGGTGTTATTTGTTGTCTGTGTGTGTGTGTGTCCGTGGCACCCGCGAGACAGGGTTTCCCTAGTGCGGGGCTTTGAGTGTGCGCGTAAAAAAATATGGCGAACGTCTATGGAATTGAATTCTCTGCTTGCAGACATATTCCCAGAATGCTATAGTTTGGACCTTTTCAAGGCGAGAGTGAATAGGCATTATTTAGGCGGGCATGCTCCATCGTCGGCCTGTCGACCGATCGTGAGATGGAGGTCGAATGCGCACCTATTCTTAAATAAACATACAAAACTTATAATTGCCTTTTTCTTCTTGTATAGTTAAAAATAAACACGTTTCGCGTAGTAAGCAAGATAACTGCAATTTTTGATATACCATACTTATTGTTTGTGTATTGATAGTTAATCGGATAATGATGAAGGATTTGCTTTATCTTCATTTTGCTAATGGCAACGCGGATATTTAGGTACTTGTGTGGTTTTTATTGATAAAAAGTCTGGTTTAACCAATTTTTTATCTACGTAATAAAACCAGAATTATATTTTACAATTGTTTTTATTATTATACTTAATAGCCACCATAATTTGATTCGTAGTTTGAAACACTTGAATAAAAATCACGTACGGCGACTATGGGATATTTTAGTAGCAGTAGACCTCCTTTTGAAAGAGTTTGTCCAGGGAAGCACTGCCACCTTACCTATTTCTGCCGCCAAGCAGTAATGAGAGCATTACTGCGTTCCGCTTTAGAGGGTAAGGATGTTGTGTAATTACGGGCACATGGGACTTGTCAATTTTTATTAGAAGATTAGAAGATTATTTCAATTTAATCAGTCTTTAATTATGTAGGTACTTTAGGATTTGTAGACAAAAGTTCGAGGGTTGTTTATTTCTTAGCTACTTTATTTTCTTGCGGTCCTTGGTCCTTAATTTCCTTTCTGATCGGTCCAGTTTGCTGAATAGGGACTGGTCGTTCACCTTTTACTGCTCGAGGTTGACGCGGGGCGATAATTGACAATACTCCATCCGAAGATAGCTTAGATTCTACAGAATCCGCTCGGCAACCTTCAGGTAAAGCATATCTTCTCACGAACTGACGAGTAATGTAACCATGTTCGTCTTTTTTCTCCTCGTGTTTGCCTTCAACTACAATGAAACCATCCGCAGTTTTGACGGAGATTTCTTCCGGTGCGAAATGTTGAACGTCTATATTAATTTGGAATTTGTCCTTGTCAGACTTGATACTGGATCCTTGGTCTCTTGCTGCAGCAGCCAGTTGACGCCACGGTCTATAGTAATCGCGAGAGTGTAAGGGAGAAACTGCAGATATGAGTACATCGTCCGGAGTCAACGCCAAGCCGAAATCTTGGTCAAACAAACGTCTGGGTATGACGGGCAAGTCATAATCAAACACGCACGGTAGCATAGACATCTTCAAATCAATACAAAATTTCACAACGTTGAGAATCACAATAGAGAAACGCTTCTCGATCGCTAGTATCGAAGAACTCCCAAATGTCGCTTGTGTAGCTTGTAACTTCGCCTTATTCAAACTGTCAATTTGAATAAGGCGTGTTACTTACCAGTAAACACACGACTTGTTCGTCCCGTCACTTTTGTTTTATAAAGTGTAAGTGCGCATTTGACCTCCATCTCACCTGATGGATAGTGACGATGACTTCGACGTTGGAGCATGCACACCTAAATAATGCCTATTCACTCTCGCCTTGAAAAGGCCCAAGTTATAACGTTCAGGGAACCAGTCTGTAGGCAGGGAATTCCACTCCATAGCCGTTCGCCATATAAACGTGGAAGCGTAACGCTTCGTGCGAATCTTTGGAATATCTACAACATAAGGGTAGAATCCAAGCCAACGCCTAGTCCTCCGGTAATGGAAAGGGGACTGCGGTATTCAATCAAAGGGGAAGGCGGAACTAAATCCTGTAATTCCATCGCACACTCTCCTTGACATATCCTGGTGAAAATGCAGGTGAGATTATTGCGATCCGGCGATTTATTATAAAACTACCTACATATTGTCCGAGCGCAAATTATTGAAAAATTTATGTTTTAAAGGTAATTATGAATATGTTTATATATTTACGAACAGTAGATCAATAGACTTTTCTTACTATATCTTACTGTTTGCTTAGTTACTACTAGGTTAAGTTTACTTATTCCGTATGAAAGAGTTCGACCAGGGAAGTACT